CCATTGGAAAATTTAAAACAAGTCTCCAATTTTCGAAAACTGACTACTTTTTTTACTTTGGTCTCTGCATATACGCAGACATTTGCTCATTTTTAAATCGCGGAAATTTTCTCGCTTCTTTTTTGATCAAATTTGCCTAATTATAATTATTTGAGACTATCGTATTTCAGGAATGCTGAGATGTATGAACAGAATACTAAACCTGCCTACTCCTCTAAAACTATTTGCCATGAGATGATCTGGAATTGAACCCTGAGATTTGATAGCGTCAATCTTTCTTTTTCTGACCTTACTGTTCTTTTATTCATAATTCCCAAGATTTTACTCGTTTCTTTAAAAACGTTTTAATTGTATGTATCTTAAGTGTTTCTAGACTGAAATATATAGAATCTTTAAGTATTTAAAGCTTCAAATAAAAACATTTTAATATTTTTCAGGATCTCACTACATGACGTTTTATGCAAAACCTTGCAGCAATTTTCAGTAGATAAATCCTAACTGAAAAAATTGAACTTTTTAGTATATACAAAGGATGAGGACATTAGAGATGACTGTACATCTACTTTATTTTTAGTATATACAAAGGATGAGATATTAGAGATGACTGTACATCGACTTTATTTTTAGTATATACAAAGGATGAGACATGACTGTACATCGACTTTATTTTTAGTATATACAAAGGTTACGCACGCTACGCTCTGGATTGTTTAGTTAAGGTTTTGTAATTATTGTTACGTACGCTACGTTCTGGAGTTGTTACTAAAAGGGAATGGAAGCGTATTTTCTCCATGCNTACATCTACCTTATTTCCTTATATTTCCGATTTTTTTCAAACTGGTTTCTCTCGTTGCCGTGTCAATAAATATGCCATTAAAAGGCAATATTCAAGGCAGAAGATTTAATTTAACCTTGTAATCGTCATATTTAATGGTTTCAGGTCGTCTTTTTAGTCTCATCATTAGTGGAAAACCCTGTGAGTAAATATTGTCAAAACATTGATCGACATCTTTTTAATTCTCAGATTTCATGGAAACACTTCCAGTAGCAAAATTATTGTGTTACAGCTGACCATGCACCCTAGGAATATGTAAATGCGATATTGCACATTGAACCTGTCAAATTTAGGGATCCCTGCACCCTGCTCTACTACATTACAACGCTTGATGAAATACGGTTTTCGTATTTCCACAATCTACATGGGATGCAAATATTCTAAATTAAACATCGTGTTCAATTTTAAAATTTTAATTCTTTAATGCCTGGCCAGACGAAAGTTAAGGGTATCGTTGTGAATAGTCTTATCAATATATTGAAGGTATCTTGATTAGGCCTTTAAACAATAGCAGCAAGTTAATTGAATGATCTCCAAAACCTCTACACAGCTTAGATCATGTCCTCTACTCGTTAAATGCTTTAACTTCATTTTAAAATATTCTAAAAATTAAAGAATTCCATTTCCTGTAAATAACAAAATATTATTTCACTAGGAGCTTTTTCCTAAAGAATGTCATTGGAATATACAGGTGTCTCACGAAATATGACAGTTTGTGAATAGCTTTTATTGTTTTCTTCCATATACTGTATTAGACATAAAAAACGTTTTTTGCAGTTTATTTCGTAAACAAATCTTTCAACTGAAATAAATTTGACTGTTAAATCAATTGTTTTTAAATATGACTGTCATTAATTTTTTTTATTATTATTATCCAACTCATCCAACAACTTAGCAAATTAAGAAAGAAGACATATTAAACTATTCACCATGTGTCTAGTTTCGTGGGACACCCTTTATTAAAATGCAAAATGGCATATTGACATAAAACGGAAACCATAAAGTATTACTCGCTGAATCACCGTGATTCAAGGTTTGCTCAGATTTCATGATAGCTTCTTATCTTCACAGTTCAAATAAAAAGAACTGAGCTCAACACGTCTGAATAACCTTAGAACGTTTAATGGGACAATTTTATATAATTTATATTGAGAATGACGAGAAGACTTCATGCCAAATGTATTCGTTTTCTATAACTAACAATAACTATTGGTCAAAAGTGGAAATTTACAAAATTAAAGAATCTTCGACGGTTATCATTGTAAATAAAATTTTATTATTCTAAAAAGTGGGATTGGGTATAATTGAATTTAAGATATGTAAGATGTTCACTAGTATGAGTCTGAAAAATTACCCCTGGAATATGCTGAGAAAATGGCAAGATATTCATAAGAAATGCTTGACCATGGTTCTGGAGAAAATATTGTTCCCAATATATTCTCAGGAATTGGTTTTGAAGAATCTTGTTCCCCATATATTCTCAGGAATTGGTTATGAAGAATCTTGTTCCCCATATATTCTCAGGAATTGGTTATGAAGAATCTTGTTCCCAATATATTCTCAGGAATTGGTTATGAAGAATCCTGTTCCCAATATATTCTCAGGAATTGGTTTTGAAGAATCTTTTTCCCAATATATTCTCAGAAATTGGTTTTAAAGAATCCTGTTTCCAATATATTCTCAGGAATTGGTTATGAAGAATCTTGTTCCCAATATATTCTCAGGAATTGGTTTTGAAGAATCTTGTTCCCAATATATTCTCAAGAATTGGGTGTGAAGAATCTTGTTAAAAATATATTCTCAGGAATTGGTTTTGAAGAATCTGTTTCCAATATATTCTCACGAATTGGTTATGAAGAATCTTGTTCCCAATATATTCTTAGGAATTGGTTTTGAGGAATCTTGTTCCCAATATATTCTCAAGAATTGGGTTTGAAGAATCTTGTTACAAATATATTCTCAGGAAATGGTTTTGAAGAATCTTGTTCCCAATATATTCTCAAGAAATGGTTTCTTAAGAATCTTGTTACAAATATATTCTCAGGAATTGGTTATGAAGAATCTTGTTACAAATATATTCTCAGGAATTGGTTTTGAAGAATCCTGTTCCCAATATATTCTCAGGAATTTGTTATGAAGAATCTTGTTCCCAATATATTCTCAAGAATTGGTTATGAAGAATCTTTCTCTGGAAATAAACTGTGAATTTCCCACAAAGAATGAGAATAAGAGAATGTCCCCTGTAAATTCTGGGAGTTTCTCAAATCTCAATAGAGAATCTATCTCAGGAGATTATATCGAGAACATCTCCGAATTAGGTCGACGTTTCCACTGAAGTTTCTAGTACCCTGGGATCGAGAATTTCTTAAAAGTCTTCGAGTCGTTACTGAACTCGACTTTTTTGGGCGACTTTAAAGTCTTAAATATTGAATATATCTCCTATCAATCGTTTATATGCAAAGACTTTAGACAATATTTTTTGGAAAGCTCGTAAGATAAAGACTATAAGACTTTATCAAAACTTCAATATCAAAGAACTTCTAAATTCTCATGTTTATTGGTACCATCTTAAAAAAACCAAGGCGATGAACCATATTTAAGAAATCATGATACTCCCTTCTCTGATCCTGATTAACTCCGGTTCTAGAGATAATTAATAATATTTAAATGGATTCCGATTCCAAATATTTTCATTCGTGAACACGATAGAGGAATGTTAAAATATACTGAGCGTATACGCACATTTATATTATGTATATAAGTATATACGTACGCTTCTACGCTTATGAACCCCCCAAGTTTGACGCAGTTAATATTGGGCGCTCAAACAATACACACTGTTACGCAACTAGGTGACTGAACGTAACCGTGAGAAGTTTATACAATGAGATTAATTTTATCTTATCTGTGATCAAATGTGCTAAAAATTAACAGAAGTAAAGGAACAAGTAAGATTTTTATTTTTATTACAGAGACTGGGTCAACGAAATTTTAATTAAACTTAATTTTTGTGGTGTTGGGTCAGTTCTCTTAAAGATTATTTAATTTTAGATAGGACATTTCATTGAAAGAGCATTTCATAGAAACGACATAAGACATTCCATAGATGGGACATATCAATGAGTTTGAGCCGGGTCTCAACTACACAAACCTGGTTTCAATTGTGCGCCGGCTTAAATCTTGAAACATTTAAGACACTTTTATGTGGAACCAACCATATTTAAGCCGCGCGTCTCAAATTTAAACCGCGGGTCAAATTTTTTTTTATTCAGCCTCAGGTTTTTTTTCTTCATATTTTTGCTTTAAACTAAAAATCTATATTTTTGTTGTTTTTTTTATATTTATTTTCTAAACTATATGTTCCCATGCAGTTGTAAACTTGTTTCTCAATTCACCAAATTTTTCAGTATTTCACTCTTAAACTATATTAAGGTGTTTCTAGAGTTTTAGGTCGTCATAAAGTTTCATTCTTAGTGGGAAACCCTGGATAGATTCAAAATAAATAACAGAGATAAAAGTTATCGATAAAATGTTATTCCTGAGTTTCCATTGATTCTATTTTGTTTGAGAGTATTGAAGGGACAGTCGCTTCGTTGTCATTTTAAGTAACCCTCAAGTTAGAGAGGACTGTGTACCCGATTTAAAAAGGTACCTTTAAAACTTTAAAAAATATTGTTGTATTTATAACTGAAAAAGTGTTGAATTCTGAAAATTTCTGCAGTAGGAATGTTTAAGTTATTTTTGTAGAGAAACCACAATTAAATTAGTTTCCAAAAAGAGATAGAAACAAGATATCTAACGAATACTTGCACACATAAAGCATTGTCAATCGGACATTGCAACCTATAATTGGAGGGCACTTGAAATTACATCTACAGTCCTTTTTAACAGAAATATGAAGAAAAAATTTAACGTCGTATATTTAGATAATGATGGAAGATATACCCTTGATGAGAAGGTTTCAGTCCTGCCTAAATCTTCATCTTACAAAAACCCTTGTTATTCATCAACAGGTATAATATAATTCAGGGGACGCAAGTTCAAAATCGTACTTATGTTCAAAATAATAATCAACGTTTTTGTGTCGTCCTGGTCAAACTATTTTCAACAATTAAAAAAACATGACGGAACTCCAATTATACTTTATATAATTTCTTTTATAAAATTTAGAGAGAAAAATCCTTAGTTATTGATAAAAACTGCGGTTTGGAACTTTCTTCCCCTGAAATTATTTATTGCACTTTGTATATATATTCGCAGGAAATCTCACCAATCCCTTTTCTTGAAAAACAAAAACAAAAAACAATTTTCAAACAAGAAAAATATAAAACAGCTTTTTACCAAATGCTTTCATTTCGTTAAATTGTAAGACGAAAACCCCATGTAATACAATTTAAGGGTCATCTGGTTTTTAATGGAAAACTTTTCAAAAAACAAAGGTATTCAAAAGGTGTCATTATTTATAAAACTGGACAAAATTTTCTTACTTTTGGAAATAATAAGTATCAAAATAATTATCCAACCAACAGAACGAAACATTTAAGCAATCTCTACTTTTTACTATCCACGGACCATGAATATATATTTAGAGATGTTTTTAAACGTTCTCTTACATGATTCAGAGGGTTTGGATGTAAACGTTTATGAAGGTTCGTGTAGCGTGAATTATCATTCACTTACAGGATATTTTAAAGCGGGAATACCAAAAAAATACAGGTTAGCGTCCAATGATGCTATTAAATCAACAATAACAAAATCGACAAACATGTGCTGTAAACTCTATTTGATAAAACTCATCATGTTATTTTCATGTTTATTGGGACACCTGGTATACAAGAAAACTCATCATGTTATTTTCATGTTTATTGGGACACCTGTTATACAAGATTTAGAACTTCCTTGATACTATCAAATTTTCAAATTTTATCATCAATTGTTCTTTTTCTAAACCAAGGTTTGTTTTTGTATCAAGTACTATACGCGTTTTCTCAGAACTTATTTTACCAGAAATTATCTCGTTTATTTACGTAGTTACATCCAGAAAACTGCCAAATATATGTCGTCTTTCTTCTTCACTAAACTCAAGAAATTTCGCAAAAGATTTGTTTAATTTGCAGTTTACAACTTATATCTCTAAACATGTTTTTTTTTAAATAGTTTAGTTGCGAATTACAAAATACTTTAAAAAAAGACGAAGAATTTACCTGTTTCCTGGTTCTCACTGTATACAAAATAGAATAGCAAAAGGACGATATGTTTATCATGGTTAGTCAAATGTCCAGTGTGGTCAGTAGGTAATCACTTTGAACCAAATTTTCAACCTTAAAATTCAGATCTTAAACGTGATTCATATTTAAACGTTTCTTTCAGTGATACATTGCAAATGTTCAAGAAGATAAGAGCATAATTCTAGTTCTAATACATTTCGCGTGATAAATGCACTACGTACTTTTTTTACATGTAATTTCTTTCTATTAATCTATAAAATATCTTCACCATTTAATATTACTTTTGTTTAACATCATACATACACGTCAACACATCAATTTAGATTTATGCTTTTGCTTGCTTACATATATTAAACAACTCAAGCAGGCTTTCACGCAAACATTGACTAGTATTTTGCCAATTACTCATTTTAAACTAAAACTATAAGCAAGAGTGTTGCATTTTTTTTAATGTATATGTCTAAGGCTACGAAAATGTATAAGTTGGTGAGGCAGCCGTAGCGGCACTTTAAAGTTCAGGCAGTCTGAATATTTGCTGAGTAACTTTCAGAGTTGTCTAAATCTCAGTGAATTATTCATCTGTACCTAATCCCGACCCGATTTTTCCTTCAAAATTCAAAAGCCATGATTGAAATATTAGCAACAGCTTTTGTGGAGAATCTTTAAATTAATAAACCTTGAATTGAAAAAAACAAACCCAAAAACGACCCCTCACCCCTACAAACATGGCCGTATATGCGTGTACGTATCCTTGATGTGTTTATTATGTAATTATACATAATGGATTTGACATGTCAATCATCTCCAAAAATATATGTCTGTCTGAATATTATCCCTGCATGGAGCCCGGTATTATCTATGTAAAGATCTTTGTGTCCGAATCCTGGCAACCGTCTTAATCCATGATTGGCTCTGCCCCATCCTTTTCATCCGTGTTTTTTAAACTCTTGGAGTATGTAATGGTTTTGAAGATACAAAGAGAAAATTAACCTTGCAAATACGACATTCATTAAAATAAAGAAGATTTTTTGTTTTTTTTTAAATCACTCAAACTCTATTTTTATCGATCATATTTACATATAAATGTAAAAAACATTGATATTTAAAACTTAACAGTTCAGCAGAGTTCATAATTCATAATTCATACAAAGATATAAGAATAAGAAAATTAGAGTTTCCTTTATCTCTTTGTGAATTATTTGACTAAACTACTCCTAGACTTTAGTTTTAAACCCGGCATTTGGTTCATTTTATTCACATGACCTCCTGTACACTCCTAACCTTGATCTTCCTCACAGTTCCTTATTAATCCTAGGAATTAATGTAGAATAGTTGGTTTCTACAATATATACAATATTGTTTCATAGTGTATATTTCCTTGGTGTACAGTTCCTCTGTGTATAGTTCCTTGGTGTATACAGTTCCTCGGTGTATAGTTCCTTGGTGTATACAGTTCCTAGGTGTATAGTTCCTTGGTGTATACAGTTCCTCGGTGTATAGTTCCTTGGTGTACAGTTCTCGGTGTATAGTTCCTTGGTGTACAGTTCCTCGGTGTATAGTTCCTTGGTGTACAGTTCCTCGGTGTATAGTTCCTTGGTGTATACAGTTCCTCGGTGTATAGTTCCTTGGTGTATACAGTTCCTCGGTGTATAGTTCCTTGGTGTACAGTTCCTCAGTGTATAGTTCGTTACTTATTAATCCTAGGAAATAATGTAGAATAGTTGGTTTCTACAATATATACAATATTGTTCCATAATGTATAGTTCCTTGGTGTACAGTTCCTCGGTGTATAGTTCGTTCCTTATTAATTCTAGGAATTGGTGTAGAAAAGTTGGAACAAGCTGGTTTCTATATTATATTCAATATTGTTTCATAGTGTATAGTTTATTCCTTATTAATTCTAAGAATTGATGTAGAAAAGTTGGAACAAGCTGATTTCTATATTATATACAATATTGTTTCTTGGGATTCCTGAGGCCGACTTTAAAGAATTTGAGCCGCGGCTTAAATTTAAGCAAATAATGTTGATTCCACTTAAAATTACATCCAATTTTTCAAGATTAAGGCCGGCGCTCAATTGAAACCGGTTTTTTTGCAGGATTTGAGCCGCGGCTTAAATTCATTAAATTCGGACACTGTTCCATTGAATTTTGTTCCTAAGAAGTAATTGTTAGATACATGTTTTGTTGGAAGATTTTAACTTCTTGTGGTTTGTTGCTGTTGCTATTTCCTCGAGTTCTTATTTTCTCAGCGTGTATAGAGAACAGATCCTCTTGACTTGATTTTAAGTTCCTATAGTGAAACTATTCGCTTTATAAAAACATCAAATACCATAAGATTGTAATATGTCAATTCCACCTAATCCATAGTTTTACAGTTTTATACAGTTAAAAATAGAACGTATTTCACATGCTTTATAAGCTCAAACCATTTCTCTCGTTTTTTACATATATACAAATTTGTATGTCGAGGTTTCTAGGTTTATTGGTTGCATGTATGTTATATGTATTGTATAGTTTCTCATAAAGATATTTTTGGGTAGATTTAGACTTTAAGAGAGGCTAATGACAGTCCTTACTATTGGGCGAACCACTAATATTAATCATTATGATAATAATAATAAAATTTAACGATCTAATTATCTGAAGCACATATGATTAAGCTACGGAAGACCAGGATATTAAATGAAAGGAATGATCAATATAATATAGAATAATAACTCAAACCCCCGCGACCGGAAGTAGGAGTTGTATACACCGGATGAAGAACTAACTTGTGGAAGTGAGAAGGGTGAAGGATTACACTAAAGGTGGGAGGAAGGTGCTGGAATTTTAGTTTAAAGATTAATTTAAGGAGATCAAGAAGATAGGACTCTCACGTTGCAATTGGACACTTAAGTTTAAATAGGACGCTCAAGTTTAAATAGGACGCTTAAGTTTCAAAAGGACGCTCAATTTTCCTTAGGACGCTCAAGTTTCATGAATAGGACACCCAAGTTAATATGACTCTCAAGTTGCAATTGGGCGCTTAAGTTTAAATAGTACGCTCAATTTTCAGTAGGACGCTTAAGTTTGAATAGGACGCTCAATTGAAAGAGGTTGATTAAGTTTCAAAATGACGCTTAAATCGCAATATGAAGCTTAAGTTGCAATAGGACGCTCAAGTTGCAATAGTATGCTCAAGTCAATAGGACAATCAAGTTGCAATAGGACACTTAAGTTGCGAAAGGACGCTTAAGTTGCAATAGGATGCTTAAGTTGCGATAGGACGCTTAAGTTGTAGTAGGACGCTTAAGTCAATAGGACTGTTAAGTTGCAATAAGACGCTTAAGATGCAATAGGATGAATAAGTTGCGATAGGACGCTTAAGTTGCAGTAAGAACGCTTAAATCAATAGGACTGTTAAGTTGCCATAAGACGCTTCTGTCAGTAATAAAGAAGAAAACAGGGTGTGCAAAGACGAAAATGAAAGAAGAAGAGAATTCTGGAATTTAAAATAAGAAATAAAAGCAGAACAAATGAATGAATTTAAGAAAAATTGTTATGAAAACAACAATAGAGGGAAGAACCCAATATTATTTGAACTAGGGAAGGAAATGAATTTTAAGTTTCAAATCTTCCACCAAATATCTTGAATTTTATTCTGAAATAAATGGCAGTTGAACTGAGAATGTAGTATTGTGGATCGAGACATGATTCATTTGAGACAAATAAAACGTTTTAATAATGTATAATTAATGAGTTTGAGCGCAAAGTTGACGTTAATTTGGGTTGTTACGTTTTGAGAATCGATTTTTTAAAGTATTAAATTATTAAATAACGACGACGAAAAATGTATCAAAAATTCTACAGTACACTAATTTGATGTTTAGGAACATATTTCTCAATAGAAATTTGTCAATAAATCAATGTTTAAATCAATCATTTCTTTTTCATTATTAGATTGAATTTCTTTTTCTTTACGAATTTGTTCGCAGATTTCTGAAAATTCTTCAAATGTCGTCTTTTCAATGACAATTCCAGAAAATCTACAGAAAATGTGTGTGGACAGTGAGACATTACAGAAACTAATAACTGAATAAGATTACTTATTTCGATGATAAGAGTTAATTCTTATTTCCTCTACCTGTTCCTGAACAACTAATTAGATTACTGTAGAATTTTTTGTTACATTTTTTGTGGTCGTTATTCATTAATTTTTTGAAAATCGATTCTCAAAACGTAACCAACCAAATGGATGATTTCGAAAATCGACTTTGTTCTCAAACTCAGTGATTATTCATCATTAAAATTTTTAATATGTACCAAATGAATCTCCATAATACTACATTCTCAGTTCAACTAATATACATTGCCGGTCACTCCCTTTAAATCGAAATAAACATTCAACGTAAGTTCTTAAGCAATTACTCAGTACGTATAGTAGTATACAGTATACACAGTCAAGTTTTGTCTCATAAAAGGCTTACAAATTATCTAAAAAATATTGTCTTACCATGCGAGTTAAATTTTCTACATTGTTCCTATAGATAGAAATTATGTCATTCTTATTTAAAATCCACAATTCGCAACGGTACCATTGATTTAATCAATAAAATGGAAGATATATCGTCGGTTTTCTAACTAGAAATCACAATTCAAAATAACTATAAAAAATAATCAAATGGATTCTATCTTGGTTGGACAAATATTTAAAGAGTATTGTTCATAAAGGTACATATGCTACACGTATATACGGTCCCTTTAATGGATAAATATGGGCTCTAAAATGAAGGCGCGCTGACCTCTAATTTACAATGAAGACGTCTAAAAATTGTTCAATCAATACTTATGATAATGGGCAGTGTTATACGTCATCAATTGTAAACCTTCCTTCCCCTTGGCATTTTATAAGTTTAACCCTGAAAATGAGGAAACATGAAGTCATTAGCATTAGTCGAAGAGGAATTAGAAAAGAGAGGGATTGATTTTATTTCAAGGTTTACGCTAGGGGCGACTAGTTAGAAGATAAACTGCAGCTAAATTCAATATTTTATGCTCAGATAAACAAATATTCAAAATTTGTTCAGAGCCCCGTTCCAATTTCAATATATTGGTCTAAACAGAGGAACAAGAAAAAGTAAAAAAAATAACGTTTTTTTTTTGATTTTTTAAATCATTTTTTTTCTCAATCTCCTCGGACTCGGAGTTCACGACCGGCCTCCCCCTAGTTCATTTTTTAGTTATGACCCAAGATTATTTCTTTTGTTTCCTGTCCCACCGTAGGTCAAAGACGTGATAAACAATTTAATAACAATTTGATTTGCCTGGGTATTCCAGTTCAAAAACGAAAAGATAAGATTCAGCACTTAAATTTAGATTTATCTTTAAAAACACCAGAAAAACTTGAAATGAAAAATTCTTTATATTTGTATTCTTTGTATAGATTTACAAAAACTAAAATGTTTAAATGCCATGAAAATCTATTTCTCAATAAATGTCTTTTATTATAGGTTTGCAAAATTGTGCAATTAGGCCTGGCTTAATGAGAAGCTTTTAGCAATAATTAAAGTAACTACCTGTAATGAGAAATAGGTTAATTAGCTGTGTTTTCGGTAACCTTTGATTTTTCTAATTTAGTTTTTCTAATTTAGTTTTTTAATTTAGTTTATCTAATTTAGTTTTCTAATTTAGCTTATCTAATTTAGTTTTCTAATTTAGTTTTTCTAATTTAGTTTATCTAATTTAGTTTATCTAATTTAGTTCATCTAATTTAGTTTTCTAATTTAGTTTATCTAATTTAGTTTTTCTAATTTAGTTTATCTAATTTAGTTTATCTAATTTAGTTCATCTAATTTAGTTTTCTAATTTAGTTTATCTAATTTAGTTTATCTAATTTAGTTTATCTAATTTAGTTTATCTAATTTAGTTTATCTAATTTAGTTTTCTAATTTAGTTTTTCTGATTTAGTTTTTCTAATTTAGTTTTCTAATTTAGTTTATCTAATTTAGTTTTTCTAATTTAGTTTATCTAATTTAGTTTTTCTAATTTAGTTTATCTAATTTAGTTTTTCTAATTTAGTTTATCTAATTTAGTTTTTCTAATTTAGTTTATCTAATTTAGTTTTCTAATTTAGTTTATCTAATTTAGTTTTTCTAATTTAGTTTATCTAATTTAGTTTTTCTAATTTAGTTTATCTAATTTAGTTTTCTAATTTAGTTTATCTAATTTAGTTTTTCTAATTTAGTTTATCTAATTTAGTTTTTCTAATTTAGTTTATCTAATTTAGTTTTTCTAATTTATTTTTCTAATTTAATTTATCTAATTTAGTTTTCTAATTTAGTTTATCTAATTTAGTTTTTCTAATTTAGTTTATCTAATTTAGTTTTTCTAATTTAGTTTATCTAATTTAGTTTTCTAATTTAGTTTTTTCAATTTAGTTTATCTAATTTAGTTTATCTAATTTAGTTTATCTAATTTAGCTTTTCTAATTCTCTAAGACTTGCCAAGATAGAAATAATTCTTCTTAGAAATCCTTGAAATTATCAGAACATTTTTTTATAATGATGAATTTGTACTAAAATTTGTGTTTTTTTTCTTTTTTAAATTGCCTTGCAGATTTATTCTCATTCTCATGTACTGATCCAATAATATAGAAGAACATACATCAGTACAAGCTCATTCTCATGTACTGATCCAATAATATAGAAGAAAAGATCAACATTATTCTTGTATAGACAAGTCATCCCCTCGTACATAATAATCTCACTGTTTGCCTTATGCGTTTTACCGAACAAATTCTTCTTAAATTTGTTCTGTTCCTGTGGAGTACTCAGAACTGAGCTGTCATAATATTTTGCAAGAATTCTTGTACCGTTGTTATCAAGAATCAGAACCGCCTTGAAAGTTTCTAGCGCAGGCTCTAAATGCATGGCCTCCAAACCCATCTTCTCTCTCTTAGAAGTGAATCAAGCGTAAATTAGCTTGGTCGATTTTTAAAATCTTGATCATCAATAAACCTTCCCTGGGGTCATGTGAGGTCCCACAGTAAATTTGGGTCCAATTGGTTCAGCCGTTTTGACTTTTATTGGATACAAACAAACAGACAAACAAGCAAAGTAAATATATAGATTTCAACCAAGATGATTTAAATTATACTTTATTGGATAAATATTGGAAGGGGACCAACGCTAAATAGTTACAAAGATTCTTCTTTTTTACCTTTATACTTTATTCTAATTCTTCCAATAAAAAAACATGAAACCAAATATTTTTTTATGGTTTAAGATTAAATATCTATCTATTTCTAATATTTAGGAAGATGAGAATTGGGAGAAAGATCCAAGTCGTCGTCTTCTATCCAACTCATCCAGGTAAACCCTCCTGTTAAACTAAATGCTTACAAGAATCCCTTAAATTTCAATTAATTTCAAATTTCTTTTTATATTCTCCGTTCAATACATTTAAATAAACCCTTTTCCATTATATTTTTTTTGAAGCTTGAAACACCAAAGTTTTGTCATTAACTAAGGATAAAATTAAGCAATTCATAGTCGGCAATAAAAGTCAAAAATCCTAATTGCAGTTTTTGTCAATTTTATATGTTGTCTTCACGCTTGCATCTTTGCCTCCAACTCTGATTTTCTTATCCATATATCTTTGTAACACAATGTTTTAGACCCTAGAAATTTTCAACTACAAATTCTGTTACACGATTAGGTTGCAAAGATATCGAAATTAGAAAACTTGAGCTGTGGCAAATACTTAATTCCTTTATAGATAAATTGAGTTGAGTAGATTAACCATATGGCTAATTAAATTACTGGTTAAAGGTTGAAGAAGTAGTTTAACTAGCTATAACTAATTCAACAATTCATTCAAAAATACCCACCTAAAATATTAAGAATTATCTCTATGTTTAGGGGTAAGAGCCTGAGCGAGGTTAAAATGTACATTGGGCCAGACAGCCTACATATGAGCCAGGGTAAACCCAGTAATAAATCTGGAATATCATCTGTAGAATCAACATTAAACAAGCTTAAACACCCACTTCAGGTAAACTCTTATATTTTCTTAGATTCCAAAAGAATTGAGTCTTTGCCACAAACTTAAATTGTCCTATCCCTATAACTTTGCAACCCAATGTGGTTGATTTTTAATATTTTAAACTATGAATCCCGTTAGATCAAATAATCAAAGTTTAAAATATCAAAGGTCTACACGATCCAGTTGCAGATAAATAGGGTTTTTTAGCAAATTTGAGTTGGTGCCAAAAACTCAGTTCCTTTGTAATTTTGTTGCAAAAAGATTTCTATCACATGAAAAAAAAACATTTCTAATTCTAATATTATAATTCTAACAACTATAGCTTTGTAATATTATTTGCTATCAATAGAAGGAGCTTTTTACGTAATTTGAGGTTATCCCCTCTTTTAAAGAATTATAAGGCCTGCGATTCACAGTTTTACCTCTCTCACCTTTCTCTGGGTAAAAATGAAGAAAAACGTTGTTTTTCCATTTTAAATAGTCGAATTCTGACACTTTCCTTTTTTTCTCTAAAGCATAAAACTACTCTAATAGAGAACTATAATTGAAAGTTATTAAGTTTCATAAATGATAAACATGGACAACTTCATTATTTTTATATCAAACAGACAAGAAGTGGTAAATCAGGCCTCAAACAAATAAAAAAAGGTCACGTCGACTGTTCCTTTAAAGAAACAAATAATTCAAACCTTGGTATTTAAGAGCTCCGGAGAGAGAAGTAAAAAGATAGAATCAACCGATCTCGTGAACGTCAGAAGATTGGATGAAATTGAACCAATGAGAATAAATAGGATAGACAATACTGAAACAATGAGGACCATTAGGATTGACAACTCACCGCCAATAAGAAATATCAGGAGTGAGAATTCAGATCATGGACAACGAATTGGTGATGAAGGACAAATGCGGATAAGAAGGAAGGATGGAGATGAACATATGAGGATGAGAAGGATGGCTGGAGATGAACCTATGAGAGTGCGAAGGATGGAAGTTGCAGAGCATTGCAAACATATTCCTTCCTATGTAAAGCAGGTAATCCAATAATAAAAGTAAAAGGGTGTTTTTCTCATGTTATTTTCTAATTCCAAAAATGTTGCAGGGTACCGGGGGGTGCTTCAGCTTGACGCACTTCTTTAAGAAACAAAAATTTAATAGTTATTTTATATTTTAAACTTAGATTATTCAATTTAACATTACTCATAGTTTTAAACATCTAATGACTCCGAAAAAGGGTTGCAAAGATATAGGGATGAAAAAATCTCAGTTTGTGGCAATAACTCAATTCTTTTAATTTACAAAATTTACGTTTTTGTGAAGGTGATAATGAGAGAAGAAGAAGGATCTAACCTGAATCTACCTTCTACTGCAAGGTATACAATATTCTCATGGTTAATGTTTTAATTGTTTTCTTACACAAATAGTTCCATGTTGTCTGGATTTGTTTGTTGTTGGTCTTTGAATACATAAAGCGTACATACTTACTAATATATAAACATAGAGAATAGAATATATAGAGAGGAATTTACTAGAAAAAAGTGTAAAACGGCCATTTTGTTGTACTGTTTCCATACTGCAGGTGTACTTCACATATTTATGCTATATAACCTGTTGGGCCCTGGAATATCATTTTATAGAAAATCTAAAATTATTGTTAAAAGAAAACCAAATTATGAAATAGGCTGGTTTCATAATTGACCAATGATCATTTCACATAGACTCTATGCCTTCCACTGTACAAACGATGATTTTCCGTTATAAATATAAATCAAATGATGTTTTTATTCACCTAATTCATTACAAAGTTTATTTAACAGCTTTAAAAATTTCGAAATTGAAATGAATAGTCTAGGGAACATACTGTATTTATGTACTCTACTGCATATAATTTGTGAACATTTACATGATTTGTACACTTTGAACTCCCTTTCAGGCTGAAAGGGACTGAAAAAATTCATACCGAGAGATTCTTTTAATTCCTCTCTATATATTCTATTCTCTATGTATATAAATGGTTCCCTGCAGCTGTTGTCGGGATTTTTTATTGATTTTTTTTGTTTATCTGTAAAAGAGAAGAAATCATCCAACCTTCGGATTATCTCATTTAAAGAGTTTTATGTCGTCGTTTAATCCTCATCCTTTGTAGAAAATCCTGTATTAAAAATTTAAAAATTGTCACACGGATTTTTTGTTTTAGTAACAATGCAAAAAAAACTAGTTTAAAATTATAAATGTATATCATGTTGGTTAAACTTTTTAAAAAAAGGACTCGCTAAGTTTGTCAATAAAAAATATTAAAATATTGTTTTCTGTTCAAAGAGAAAAAAGACGACTTTCTCGTCATCGTTTCTTGGTCTTAAATAAATGATCATTAAAAAAGTTGACATTTTTTAATGTTTAATTAAAAAGAAAGCTTTTTAGAATTATAATCTTAAAAATTTTCCTCCCTTTTTCCACAAGTTATGAAAGTTATGGAAGAAGACATTTGGTAAAAAATCATGACTTTAATTTGCAGAGAAATGAGAGAACTATTGGATACATTACGAAGACGAGACCCCAGAGTGATCAACAAAATGGATTTCAGAAGAAAACTTGAAATCGTTCAAACCCTGTAGATGTTTCTTTACTCTATATACAGATAACTCTGAAATAGGAAGACGACTTTTATAATCAAGTTTTAACTAAACATTAATTGTGGAGAGAGACAAGGTTCACTAAATCAGTGATCTAATAAGTGTCTAGTGAAAGTATTTGTTTCGTAACAACATCAAATATACTTCAGTATTGCCATAATGTCGTCTTCCTCTTCCATTGCTATCTGGTTAGCACTGAAAGAAATTATTTTAATCCCAATTTGGAGTTTTTTCAATAAATACCTTTGCTGGTTTCAAACGTCTCCTTAAAGAGGTTTCACGAACATATTGTTCATATGTTTTTAGAGATTGAGGTTCACTAGCTACATTAAAGCTTTTGAAGCAAAAGAGACATATAACTATGACAGTCAGTGTTGTATATAGATATACATTGAATATTAATTGTGTTCGATACTGTTCAATACTGTTCAATACTGCTCAATACTGTTCAATATACTGTTCAATACTGTTCAATACTGTTCAATACTGTTCAATGCTGTTAAATAATGATCAATACTGTTCAATACTGTTCAAGCAAATTTAAAATGAAATTTAAGCATCTTATAAATAGTTTATTTCGCCTTTTACATCCTAATTCAAAACTGAATGTTTTGTTTTTGATATAATGTTGACAATGATAATTATTCTATTTTTATAATTTCATAATTCGTTTTTATAATATTGTATATAGATATGATCAAATAATAATAATAAAATAATCCTAATCATATTTTGTTAGTAAAATATTAATTTTTACATTTTATAATACTATAAACTTAATAGAAACCCATGTATAAAGAACTGAATAAAGGCAACTTTACAAAGAGAAACTCAATATAACAAGCCAGATGGAATCGATTAAAGCACTAACTTTGCACAGACATTTATTTTACATTATTATTAAAATACAAACTGAGGATCAACCGAAGTCAATCCTGGAATCATAGATGGATCTAATTCTCCTCTCGGAGCTACTGGAGCTGTGATCGACCGCTCTCTTCTCCTCCTTCATCAAGACTAACCCTTTTCTCGGGGACAAAATGGACGTTCAGATTGCTTTCTCTTCCGACGAAAGCACCGTTATCCGTGTTCCCCTGATAAGGATTCCCAGGATTTGAACCTTGCTACCCTGGAAATTTCCTCTGGCCGTTGATACCAGCTCCAGTAGTAACGGGTTAAATACAATCAATACTATTTGTTTGTCCAGTTACTCAACTCATGATACAATTTAGCTTGGGTTGAATGAACTAGCTGGGTGGGTTTACAATACGCAATTTTGCAAGTTTTAAAATCGATAATCAAATCTGAAACCGCCATTTTTTTTGAAAACCATAATTGTACGACAGTATGCACGTAAAATATGAAATAAAATATTCATGTTTTTTATTCTTTTTATTAGTTTGAATTGCAGTTTCTCAATAAAAGTGACCTACAGATTCATTTTGCGGAGCCAATGAAGGAAGGTGTGAGAATATAACAATGTTCAAGGAAAAATACAATATTTGATCTTTTACTCAGATAGAGATTGATATGGAATGCCACTCTGTAAATAAGGGGTCACAAGTTGTGTGTACACTGTAAAGTCCCTTTCATCGTTATAAAAAGAAGTTCACACCGGATTTAATCAGAAGATGAAATAGGGGTCAGGAAGCGCCACAAATTTTTAAACTCTTGAAAATAAATTTACTTACAGTTAATACCTTGCACAGTTAAAAAAGTTCGAAAATCTTTAAATTCAAATCAATTTATTCATCATATTTCACACAAGAACAGTGGTAACCAGAACGATAATTTCATAGATACCACTGTATAAATCAGAATTAATCTTATAATTAATTAAGTTTAACAATAATTAAAGTTGTATATTACAGATATGTTAAAAAAGTAAAGTAATCAGTGTAAGTGATTATTTTCATCAGTTGCGGAAATTGAAACTGGAAAGATTTACTAGTATATTAAATTAAAAATTATGTTGTTATAGTGTGCGATTCAATTAAAGAAAATCAACACATTTTATGGGACTAAGAATATTACAATTTTTTCTTTAAGGTCTAAAAAAGAATTTATGATGATTTTTCTTGTGAAAGATTTTTTTTGAAAATCCACCCGCAATGGATCCTAAAATGAGTCTGCTGTAGCACTAAGCTGCCCAACCGGCGGGATGGCACGTTGTGGATCCACTTGATTAATCCTCTTCCATTATCGAAATCTATTGCGGTTGGATTATCTTATTCCCAAAAATTTTAGTAGCCTTTATTTTCTCTCTTTTCACTGAATTGCCATATCCGGGAGAACTAGTTTATCATACAAAGGCCCTCTCAGTGCAACAATCATCTGACCTATCGGAGTAAAATCAGTCCAATCCCCTTTCAGGAAACTCTTCAGCAGCCCCGAGGAAAACCCTGAGAGAAGTGCGACCCGGTCATGTTTAGCGCTCTGAACAGGCTGGGAGACACTTGCTCTTAGATTCCAGAACACTGTCCGGGGTATGATTTGATAACCAAACTTTTCAAACTTTTGTTGTATATGCTCGTACATGGTTGCTTCAGTTCCCCTGCCTATAGCTTCATCAAACTCCATATCAGAGAATATGACAAGACACATGTTTTCAACATAGCTGCTAGAAAGCTTAAATGTCCTTGCTATTTGAAGAAGTAGATCAAAAGCTGCTTCTATATTGGTAGACCCACCCCAATCATATCCTCGGACATCAGACACTCTAGCACCAAAGTCTCCAAGACTCTTGAGTATACCGTCTAAGTCCTCTAGGTTGGATTTATCTATCACCATATCATAATCTGGAACATTCTTAAGAGTACAGAGAGATGGTCGTGAATGAAAGGTCATTATTTTACCATGAAGAGGAGAATCTCTAGGGAGGGATTCAGCAAGAAGCATTGACAGTGCTATAGCTACACTCATGGGTGTTCCAGCCATAGATCCTGATACATCACACATAGGTAGGCAGTTACCAATACCCTCACCCGCCTCAATAGCTTCTCTGGTGGATTTAATTAAACCCCACCACTGCAGGTTTATCTCCAGGGTCGCCTGTTTATAGTTCTCGGATCTCTTAGTAAGCTGAGAAACCTTATCCACCAGTTCATGGGGGAGCAGAGCTCCAGTCTTCACACCGTCTTTAGACTTTTTATCAGTAAGAGCAGTTACAGCAGATTTCTCCAGATATTTATCATACCTCTTCTGGTCATGTTTCTGAAACACTTTCCGACCCCAAAGCAACCGACATCTTGACGCCATTCGATCGTAATTAACCTCTCCAAACCTCTTGGACCCAGTAAAATGTTCTGGGACCTGACTTGCTTCGCGGATTTCAGACAGAAGCTTCTGATACTTCTGCCCACTGTTATCCAGGCTCATACCAAGCCTAGGCAGCACATGATTGATCAGGTCAGCGGCAATCCATGTTGCTTTGTTGTGCATTCCCCTTTGGTTTGGTGCCCATTTTCCATAGAGACCTCCAACACTTTTTTTCTTACGTAGATCATCATGCTCCTTCACTAATCCGTCAGAAATACAGTGAACAACCGCTTCATACAGGGCCTGGATTTGAGGGTTCTTCCTTCGTTCCTTTATTATACCAGCAATCTTTTTCTTTTCTGCTTTCAGGTTTAACAACTCATCCTTCTTAGCGATAGAGTCGAGTTCCTGGCAGAAGGAACGGTATTTTTGGGAAATCTCCGGGGTTTTCCATTTTGTGAGACATCTAACATCAGTTTTTCTCTTCTTTACCATTTTCTCTATCTCATCGTCACCCCTTTCTGTTCTCAGCTCCTTAAACGAATCAAACCCTTCCTGTTTAGCAAACTTCATCATCCTTTCCTCCTTTAACGGCATCTTACTAAATGTCAAATCCTGTTTTCTCCTAAAATAAGAAAAATATTAAGATTTTGTAATAAAATAGATTTCTTGTGTTTTTCTTACATATTTTTCTGCAATATTTCAGTGCTTTTGTTTTTAAAATTACAAAAAGAAATTACATTCTTATTAAATTTCATCCATTCAAGACGAATGAACTAAAAATCAACATTAGCTTAAAAAGGAATTGTTATTTTTTTGCCACTATCACTGATTTTCTAATCCATATATCTTTACAACAAAATTCCGTGGAACTTAGATATTTTAAACTATAAGTTTTGTTGCAAAAAAAAAATTAAGTTTGAAACATCTAAAGTTTACACCATCAGATTGCAAGGAAAAAAGGGGTTGGACAGTTTGAGTTTGTGGTAAAGACACAATTCCTTTGTCTGTTCCAATTTACCCAGATTTCCTTCTTCGTTTAGCATGGTCCTCCACCCCTTGCAGCTGATTCTGTAGTGAATAGGGGGTATCCTGGTCTTCATGTACAATGTACATAAGAAGGTTCAACAAACACTTGTGGGAGGCATGTTCAGGGATATTTCTTACGTTCAAGATCACTAAACAAACATTATTTTGCTTTTTGTTACGAACCAACTCTCAAAAACACAGTGTACACAAAAAAGAAAGAGTCTTCTTAAAAAAAGGGGGCTGTAGCATGTCAGATTTACAACGTTCCTTTTAGAAGCTTTGTCTGATCAAGTATAATTTCGATATTAATGTTTTGGTTTTCGAATATCATTTGTGGATTCTTTGGTTTTCGAATATCATTTGTGGATTCTCTGTATTTGTGAATTTTTTGCTTTATGCTTAAATTTAACAATTTTCGAGTGAGCAAAAAGACTTTATCCTCCTTATTTATGATTAAAGTAAAGTTTTAAGGGTACCGTTGTAAATCGGGCATTGCCATCTTGGCACGGAGGTTCACCTAAAATGAAGCTTACAGTCCCTTTAAGGCTTGGTTTTACATCAATAATTCAATTAAAATACTACCATGATGCTTTATACTGTTGTACCTGCCATTGGTTCTTTCTCCCAGAGCCAAAGGATAGATCTGTAGAAGTTTTTCCGATCTTGTTTCCCCCCTCCTCCATTCCGTACATTTCCCAGGTTAAATATTATTCTCAGGGTTACCAGTGCACTCTCAGACCAGCTTTCTTCTAAATATTATTCTCAGGGTTACCAGTGCACTCTTAGATCAGCTTTCTTCTAAATATTATTCTCAAGGTTACCAGTGCACTCTCAGACCAGCTTTCTCCTAAATATTATTATCAAGGTTACCAGTGCACTCTCAGACCAGCTTTATTCTAAATATTATTCTCAGGGTTACCAGTGCACTCTCAGACCAGCTTTATTCTAAATATTATTCTCAAGGTTACCACTGCACTCTCAGACCAGCTTTCTTTTAATATTATTCTCAGGGTTACCAGTGCACTCTCAGACCAGCTTTCGCCGTTGATATCAATACAATGAAGACGACTTTTATATTTAAGTTTGGATTTCTATACCAAGCTTTTTTCAAATTACAAATTTACGAGTAAACTGCCAATTGACAGCTTCTCTTTTTTCATGATTATGTGCATCCATGATGTTTAAAAGGTTGTTAGAAATCCAAAATTTTTATCATTGTAGCAGTGACTGTAGTTCACAGTGAAAACTATTCTTGCAGATGAAAACATACTCTTCAAACAAAATTCACAAACTTTAGATGTGTTTCAACTCCCAAAAATCAGTTAAGATAGAGATCACATTTTTTGGCTAATTCTCCTTAGAACTTTCAAGGATTTATATTCTTTGAACGGTGTTTTATTTTAAGAGTAAATTATAGCTTCCTTCTTAGAACCTTTTTAGAAATAAACCATCTAGAAAATTATTCGGTTCCATAAAGCACACTTTTTGTGCAGTACTGTACTGTACTGTAATGTACTGTACTATAATGCACTATAATTGTGCACTATAATTTTTCCAAATAATTTACCCCAAGTGATCAATAATTTATGTTCTCATTAAAAGTGACCACATTGGACTTCGAGATCAAGCATTCAAGATTAACAATTCCACACAAGATTCGACCTCTAGAATGATATCATTGTATTTACAAAAATGTGTTTATTATGTTATGCTTAATTACACCCTAAATTTACCTAGATACTTGTGAACTTCTTCCTTTGTACTGCTGGGGACTACGTTGAAGAAGAAGTCCACAGCACTGCTCTCGTTTCTCAGATACGCAAAACAGTTATTCTCTCCCCGTATCTTCTCCCCTCCTTTAGAACCATTTTCTACATCCATACATGTATCATCATCATCCTTTTCATCCACTTCCATTTCTCCATCTTCCCTTCTTTTACTTATATCCGTCATTCTCTGGAATTTTAGGATATCTTTAACACTAGCTATTTTTTTTGTTTAAGAACCCCCAAAATTACAGTATCCCTGTGTAGCGCGTGTGTTTTTAAAAGGGGGGGGGGGCGAAAGGGATTTTAGCTTATAACTGCTTATTTTTTCAAAAACATTCTGGTCATACCCTGCAGAGATAACTTTTATTGAGGGATTAAACATTGATGCTCTTTAAAAGAGCCAAAACTGGATATTGAGATCAAGCAGATTAACATCAGATTAAAAATATTAACACAAAAATCTCAGAATATAAATATACGGAAAGTGTGGATAAGTGCGCAGGGCAGAGATACGAGAGTTACAGTGATCGATTATCTGCTAAAATATCCGATATTTTCCACAGCATGTACACGTACAAGTACTGTACACGACCAATCAGCAAACATCTGTATTCAGGGATATTTAAGAATCCTTTGGATACGAAACACAAAATCTTCAAAAAAAATACTGAATTCATAAATGTTATGTTTCAAGTTTAAAATTGGAGCATTTTTTGAAAAGTTGTAAAACTTAACCCCTAAATGGGTATTATGTTCAACAAGTGGCCGTGAGATGGCACTCTAAAACCTATCGTAAAAAAGTAGCATGTTGTGCTGGGTCAACTTAGGCCTACGTAGCCCACCCTGTGAAAGGAGATAAGCAGTCTGTGAAGTCTGTGGCGCAAAGATACCTTAATTGACAGAACTAATTAGCCGAAACACAAGATCTTAAATTGCACAGTGTAATTATATTCTCAATTCACCCCCCCCCCCTTCCTCAAAAGGTTTTAATAAATTTTTTCTATTAAAGTTTTACGTTAGGCGGCACTGTATATTACTTGTTTCTTATCAGAGTAAATAAGGCAGACTGGGAGTTAGGAATATTTTCGCTTATACTGAATAAATATTGTAATCTTAGACAAGTGAGAGGGAGGGGATGCCCGGACGCTGTGAGCCCAGCCAAAGTAGCTCCAACTTTCGAGCCGCAGAGTTTGCCATCCCCTCTGAGCCCTTATTCTCCAATTAACGATTAAGAATCCATTAATTATACATAAGAAACTTTATGACTGAATTCAAAGGAATTAAAACATCAAAATATTCTTTTTAAATATTAAATCTTTTTTTCTAAACTATTTGTATTGGTGCATAATAAACAAAAATAAAAATGTAAAAGGCTATTTTTAAATAGGGCTCGCAAATACAACATTCCGTTGAAAACATTTTAAAATCTACTTTTCCCGATGAAAACGCTCTACATGTTTTAAAATTTAATAGACATAGGTAAAATGTTCTCAAGTTATTCAGAAAGTTTTGTGACTTGGAGGTGGTTTTTTAGGTTCCCCATGGCGTGATGGCCCCACAGCGCTACCCCCCNCAATAAAAACCTCTGAGTACTAACACAAGGTATCACTTGGTGATATATTTTAGTAAAGCAATGGTTATTTGTTTTTAGCCTTATAATTCACAAGTTATTGACAATAAAGGACTGGTTTCTCCTGCCTGTCAGTGTATAAACCCTCTGACTTTCACTGAATCACTATGGAAGCAGAATTGTTCTGTCCGTGCCGGTACCGAGCTAGAACCACCACGGCACGGTAGTAGAGGTATGTAGTGGAAGAACAAATATTGTATATTGTATAATGCATGTGTATAGTTTATGACTAAAGAACTAGGGTCTCTGACGCAACAAATATATAGACTAAAATATATTTGATAATATTTTATATATGGTATAGGTGTTTAGAACGGATCAATTAATTTGGTTAATTTTCCAAAATTGTTAGAAATAAATATGAATTTTGAATAATTATTCTTTTTTTTATAATCATTGCCTCCCTCCTCCTTTCAATTTACTGAAGGATTTAATAAGGAAAGCATATTGCAACATGCCATGTTGCAATGTATTTGCCTTAAAGAGGCCTAGGCATACAATGCTAGGCCTATATAAAATTATTGCCAGAGTGTTTATTATATCAGCGGAGCTCTAAGTTCAATATTGCAACATGCTTCACCATGTTGCAATCAGTTGCAATATTTGTAGATATAAAGTTGAGCCAACACATAAAGTATTCAGGATTAACATGTTCAGGGGTTTATTTACCAATTATATTGTATTTCAAATTAAAAAATTTTATATTGGAAGATCATACAAAAAAATCAATTAGGCGTTAGAAGATCAAAAATAATTTTTGTTGACTATCAAATATGAATATCAATCTATGTATCGATGTATATAAAGTTGTAATCTAAATTTTTTTGTTTGGATGCATTATAGCTTTCGAACCCCTTGACAGATATGCCTCAAATTTTGATTGGGTAACTCGATAGAGCGATTTTAAGTTTCTTAATTGAGTAAGTTGGCTTTTATAGGACAAACTTAGTTTCCGGACCAAGCTGGGTTCCCAAACTAGTCATCATTAAACATAATTATGCAACATTCTTCGATGTAAAGATTTTCCCTTCAAAATTCATTAAATATTTTATTTCTTTTACGTATGTAATTTCTGGAAATGGAATTCGAGTTCGGTATGGATATGCTTTTTATTAAAAAGTGGAGGAAGGAAGGGAGGGGATGGGGGGCCATATACACTGTATTTGCACATCCCCAGGAAGAGCAGAGGAAGAGGGATTTGATGGCCATAATAAGCATCACCCGAGAAGAGGGGAGGAAGGAAGGGATAGGATGGGGGGGGGCACAACCATCCCACGAGAAGAGTGGAGGAAGGGAGGGAGGGGTTTGAGGGTATATATAAGCATCACCCGAATTATAAACTTCTCCAAAAAGGTTAAGGTTACACTTTTTTTCCTGGAAACTTTTTAAATGTTAAAATGTATAAAATAGTACTATTTGACTTTAATAAATTTACTGTTCAATATTCTTGCAACGTTGCCATTTAATGTCCGTTAATTTAATACATTAAAAAATAAACTTATCAGCATTTTTCAAGATTTTTCACGCATATCTGCCGGGTCAGCACACTCTGACCCTGACAGACGCAGTTAAATCCTGTCTACCATCAATATCGTTTCAATATTTATACCTGTGCTTGTCATTCAAGGGATTTTCAAGGGATTTTCTCGCTACCCTTTACAATGCGAAAAGAGAAATTCGAAGAAAAAAACATAATATCACCCGAATTTTTTTTTTTAATTCTGAAACAAGAGAAATTACTTAAATAAAGTTTTAGTCGTCTTCTTTTTCCATTATTTTGTTTTTAAATTTACGACAATGAATGAAATCTTTGTGGGACAGAAAAAAAGACTATATATCTTTCTTTTTGCTATTTTTACGATTCAAATCAAGGATCCCTTGAATTTTTAGGGTCCACAACCTAAGAATTTTTGTATACCAAACAAAGTTTTTTCCGGCTATACAACTTATTTGATATATTATATTTAGGATAAAAATGAGCAATAATGAAAGAAATTTAAACGAAGATCATATTCTGGAATTTCAGGCAAATATACTATTTGTACAGGCATATATGCTATTTTTACAATTTTTTAAAAAAGGTTAACATTTAATCAGTGCAATTAAACTTGAGGTTGCAATTATTATTGACCATTCAAAAACAGAGCGATTTCAACTCTTGCATTATCATGAATCCCTTAAAAGAGATCAAAATGTTCCTCGTGATTAGTTTAAAAAATGTTTACAAGTCTAGCATACAATTTTACTTTGTCAGGAAGCATTCAACAGTTTTGATCCTGACAAATCAGGACATGTTGCAACCAAGGAACTAGGCAACCTTCTCAGGTATAGATAAATCAGGACATGTTACAACCAAGGAACTAGGCAACCTTCTCAGGTTTAGATAAATCAGATTCAGACCATGCTGCAACCAAGTCCTTTTAGATAATGTCATTTCAAATTTTATTATTCAAACAGAAGTTTACATTGCGAGATTTTAAGCGGTTCAATTGAAGACTATAGTAAAATATCGCCTTTAAATAAATTTGTAATAAGGCCTCGTTGAATAAAATTTAATAAACTTTTAAAAACGCGGAAAAGTAATTTTTCAATTGAAAATAAATTTTTCCAACCAATGAAATATTTTTCAAATGTTTTTTAAAATTTATTTAATCGAACACATAACAACCTGTCTTCTTAAACTATCAAACTCTTTAATTTTGACGATCTACTAAAGGCATAAATGGCTCTTTGGTAAAAATAAAGTCTTCTATATAAAGATATATTAAATGATTTGACAAAAGGCCATAGGGAACTATAGAATTATATAAATAGATTGATTAAACTCTGAACAGTTTTTTCTGAAGTCTCATCCTTTAAGATAATGATGTAGAAATAAATGGTATTTTTGTGATAAAATGTTAATTGAGCAAACGTTTTAGATTTGAAGAAATGTCGCAATATCTTTTATTAAAGATAAATATTTAGGTATCTCGGGATAAATCCAACCAAAGAAGAATTACAGGTTTATTTTGTTAAGATTTTTTTTAAAAATTATAATAATCCCACATTCTGATTTAACGATTTAACGATTCTCTCCTAGTTTTTAAGTTGGAAGTTTTATTAAAGGTTTTAAAAAAAATTTACCAAAATAAGTCCATCCCCTATAGGGCAGTGCACAACTGGAACAATTAGCAGACATCAAACTGTATCTAGGATAGTGTTAAATCAAATCCCCATGTGTGACAAAACCTTAAAAAATTGTCAAATCTGAACCCCTGAAAGGACCTCCTATACATGACTACTTACTATCGACTATATGACCTCCCCTATATATTTAGGACCTGACTATACAGATAGACCCCCACTGTAGTGGACACCTGCTCCTCCCCGACCTCCTCGACATGATGTCAAGAATTATCATGGAGAGGAACTATGACGCACAGATAGAGGACGCTTTCAGGTTGTAAGGAGCAATTACTTGATTCGTTTTTATATACCTGTTTGTAACTTTAAATAGGCACTACACAAATACTGTGAACTTGTGAAGGATTCAATATTTAAAAACTGTATTCTGAAAAGTTTTCTATTATTAAACTATGCAAGATTTTTGTCCTAATAGAAAATATGAGGAAAATGAACCAAAAAATTATCGTTTTAACCCTAACCTGGCTTAGCTATTTTTGTCTAATTTAGGCTGGGAGGGGGGGGGGGTGTTTTCCATCCCCCATGATTTTGGCCTTAGAGTTTAGATAAGGAAGTTTGATACATGTCCTTAGTCCAACTTTGCAAAGCCTAATAATTAAAAAATGATACCTCTAACTTTACTGGTTAGGGTGCAAGGGAGGATTTAAAAAAGTTTAAAAACTACGTTGGAAAAATTTTCAAAAATAAAAGTAAATAAGCATTTTTGATTTTTTTGGAACACCGACCCGCCGTTCACAACTATGAACTATGAAAAAGTGAAAAAGTTTAAGCGTTCTAATGTCAGCCGACTATATTTGAGGTAAATTATTGCAAGACAGGAACTTCATGCTATATTTGAGTAATGTATTGCAAGACAGGAACTTCATGCTATATTTGAGGTTATGTATTGCAAGACAGGAACTCCATGCTATATTTGAGGTAAAGTATTGCAAGACAGGAACTTCATGCTATATTTGATTCTTAAAAGGCACCACACACAAATTTTGTGATGTTATTAATTGGTTCTAGAATATTTCAAAACTGTGTTCTTTAAAAAAATGTTAACTTAAGAAAAAACTAAAAAGGAAAAATGATAATTTTTGTTTTCTGTTAATTTTTGCACAACTTGGCCTTGTGTAAAAGAAAGGAATGTTTTAAGATTAAAAAATTTTGAAAACTGTAATGACATTTTTTTTCAAGCTTTGAGTTGCATCGCCACATTTTTATTAACTCAGTGAAATTGCTCTGCTTTATATTCGTGAAAGTTTTGATTTCATAAACATTTAGAATCTAGAATCTAGAATCTAGAATCTAGAATCTAGGCCAAAATTCACAAAAAAACGATAAATCCGCGAATTTTTGTTTTATATTTTAAGAAGAGAATATTCCGGTGTTAGACAACTGCAAATTTGAAATAGAAGATGGACGCAAAGCGCAAGTCAGTACTTTACATTCCTGAAAATTTAGATTTTCTAAATATTTAGAATCTAGGTGAGAGGTTGAACGAGGAAGAAATTGAAGGATTACTTGACGAGGCTGATCTTGAGGGGAAAGTGTTTATTTTCACAATTTTTTTTTATCTTACAAAACTTTTTAGAAATTAGGTTTTTATTTCTGAGATTTTAAGAGAAAAATAAACAATTTTTTTATGTTGAAGAGAAGGGCAAATCAGGAAAAGAAATAATAAATACAAATTTCAAAAATAATCTTTTAATTTTCAAAAGTTTCAAGACGACCTTTCAAACAGACCTTGTCTTTTGATCACTCATACAGGGTTAACCACAAAGAATAAGACTGTAGAGACGACGGAATGGAATGTATTTTTCCTTTTTTCTTACATTTATAACTAGCTGTAACTGTAAATCATTGAATATACAGGGTGTCCCACATAACATGACAGTTGGTTAATAGTTTTGAATGTCTTCTTCCACATACTGTATAAGTTATAAAAGACTTTTTGCACTTTATTTCTTTAAAAAAAAATGTTTAACTCATATATATTTTTCTGTGAAATCAATTTTACTATGGTATAACTGTCATATAAAAGATGTTATTAGTCTCTTTAGTATGAAACAACTTATCAAATTATGGAAGAAGACATTTTAAACTATTCACCAGCTGTCATGTTTCGTGGGACGCCCTGTACTATTGACAGATTATATAAGAGGCAAAAGACTACATTTGTCCTTCAGCTACAGGGTGTCCCACGAAACATGACAGTTGATCAATAGTTATGAATGTCGTATTTCCTATACTGTATTAGATATTAAAGGCTATTTGCAGTTTATTTCGTTAGAATTATTTTTTGTTCAAATATATTTTACTTTAAAATTTATTTTACTATAAACATGACTCCAAAATATTTTTATTATTGTCTTTGGTATCAAGCATCTTAACAAGTTATGGAAGAAGACATTCTAAGCTTTTTAACAACTGCCATGTTTCGTGAGACCGCACCCTGTAGTAAGTTACATTTAAAGAGTTCCAAGTCTTTTCATTGGTCAACCATTAGGTCAATTTAAAGGTAAAAGACAAAGTATACCCAGTTACTGTTTTATTTGTTTATTTTTAACTTATTTTCAATCATTACTACGTGTGGATAATCAACTTATTATGTAATATATTTTTGCAACCTGTCCTGTGTTGTTAACGAACTATTGGATAATCAACTTATTATGTAATATATTTTTGCAACCTGTCCTGTGTTGTTAACGAACTATTGGATTTCCAACATTCATAAAAAAATCTCCTTCAGAGTAAAAAAATCAATAATGCAATTTATGTGGAGATTAAAATTTTGAAATGACCATAAAGGATGCTCATTGCTATACACTGCTTTATTCTGTCATCTGTTATCTGTTATCTGTTATCTATTATCAGTTATCTGTTATCTGTTATCTGTCATCTGTTATCTGTATTCTGTTATCTGTTATCGGTTATCGGTTATCTGTTATCTGTTATCTGTTATCTGTTATCTGTTATCTGTTATCTGTTATCTGTTATCTGTTATCTGTTATCTGTTATCTGTTATCTGCAATCTGTTATTGTTTCTTTCAGTTATTCTGAGTTCTGCGCTATTCGAAACATTCTGTGAGAGGTTTCCGACAACACACTACAAGCATGAAAATATATTAATTTTCTCTGATCATGAATTATTATTATTATTATAATCCAAAAATAAATTTTTCTTTAATTAAACTTAAATTATTTAGAAGAGATTAAATTACTGATTTCTTTCAAAAATATAGTGGTCGGCGATTATATCAATACAAAGAAGTTAAGAATTTTTTAGTTAAGTTTGGATTGTTAACAGCTTTATCCTAATTAAAAGTTTACAAACAACCCAAGAGAAGCATTTTATCTGTATCCATGCTGTTTAAAAGCTTGATTTAAATAAAAATTTAAATCATTTTATTGATATATTTAACAATGACTGTAGTAAAGTTTCAAGGATTGGGGGGGGGGGGGGGGGTATTTTAGGGGACATGGGGGGTGTAGACTGTTTTTGTCACATTACTCCATTGTATGAATTGTAGCTCGCATTGATTTATAATGACTTCAATTTATAATTACAATTTTCCATTTCATATATTAATCCTTGAATGGATCCTGTAATATATTTAGATGTCGTCTTTGTTACAGTGCGCATTTCGGAAGAAAAATATACATTTTATAGCAAAAGCACAAGAGAGCACAGGGGTTTCGGGGTAATCTAAAAAATAAATAGATTCTAACAGACATACAAAAAAGATTTGGGGCTCCAGCAGCACCCAAAAACCATGATGTAGTCAAAGTAGCGAGTTGAAAAATCCTATTTTAAGAGTTTTTAATGAAATAGCGGGTTTACGGTCGAAATTCTCAACTAAAACATAATATTTAAACAACTCAGAGACTTCTCTCATAAAAAAATTTCTTAAGCAGCCATAATATAAGAGGTTTATGGAACAAACTCATTTTGGTTGACCCCCCATAATACCCCACAATTGGGGTATAAAAAATTTATCCTTTCATGACAATTCTAACTATTTGATAGGAATTATTTCTTCATAGAATATTTCTTAGATTTTAAGAAAATTATTGTGTTTACTCAATTATTTCTCTTTTTTTGCCAACATTTCTGAATTTCTAATGCGTATTTCTTTGCAACCATGTATCGTAGACCTTTGATAAGAAGATATACACACGTACGGATCAGTGCTCGATGTTGAGTTAATAAGGTTCCGGAGTAAACTGATGATTCCCGACATTCCAGGAGAAGGGTCATTTAAAATTGGTGAACAATCGATTTAAAAATCCTCATTCAAGACCCAGCGTAAATTTGCGTAAACTGAGCTGAAAACTTAAGAATGGTAAATATCGAGATCAAGACTTGATCTCCTTTTTTCTTAATCTCCAGATTAAATAATGCCTGTTTTCCTCTTCTTATTAATCTCCAGAGCTGAAAACTTAAGAATGGGTTATCCTTAATCCCGATCGCTAAATTAATCTGGAGATTAAAAACAAGAGGAGAACAAGCATTATTTAATCTCGAGATTAAGAAAAAGAGTGTATCAAGCATTAATCCCGATATCCACCATTCAAAAGTTTCCAGCTCAGATTAATTAACCCATCGGGATTCTAAAGTTTTCAGCTCTGTATTCATAAGTTTAAATTTTATAACAAGGGTAACCAATGTAATTAAATAACTTTAACAGATTTCAGGTCACCATTTTACATTATTCTGTGTACCCCTGTATTTAGATCAATGTATATAAATCTCTAGTCCTGAAACCGAACCTTTGTGCTCTAGGTTGATTATATACTCCTCTCCGAGTCAAGTATTTTAGTCTAAAATTGTTCCCTGCATGAAAGGTTTGAGAGATTTAGCTAAAATGATGAAATTACCAGCGGAGAGATCTAAAAGACCAAAACAGTTGTAACTGTTGCAAACCAGGAATCATTGTAGACAACACTGATAAACAACTGATGAATTGTCAACCATAACTATAGCAGTCAAATAAAGAGAATTATTTAGCAGTTGATATAATAAAGAAAATTGGTTAATAGTTTTTATAATAAAGACCAATTGGTTAATAGTTTAAATAATAAAGTGAATTTGCTGGCTGTTTTAATGATCAAGTGAATTGGTTGACAGTTTATCTAATAAAGGGAATTGGTCGACAGTTTGTATAATAAAGTGAATTTGTTGACATATCGTATAATAAAGAGAATTGGTTGACATATCGTATAAAAAAGTGAATTGGTTGACAGTTTATATAATAAAGTTAACTGTTTGACAGTTTGTATAAAAAAGTGAATTGGTTGACAGTT